ATTCTGCTGTGTTCCAAGTGAGTCTCTCGCAGAACCAAATTAGTTGACGGGAACTCGGGGGCTGTGTCTACCTGCTGAGCCTCAAAAAAGGCGAAAATTTTCATCAAACTTATGAGTAGTGTATTACGTCTATAATTCAACCTGGCAAAATGTTCGCCTTCTGCTTCAAAAAGGTTTTACTTGTTTTTTTTTTTGTCTTTTGAGACACAGTAGGCTCAGTCACAACCTTGGGCTCACTTAAGGAGAACTGTCCGTTCCGCCAAGGTTGGTACTGGTGCAGTTCACCTTCAAAGACATTCTTCGAAATCCACCAGGTGCATAACACAGTGATTATCGCACCATCGGTGACAAACGCCCCACAGACTAAAAGCAGTGGCGCACTTGTTCGGATTATTTATCACACGCAGCTATGCAAATGTGCGTGTGGCATATCAGTCGGGGTTACCATGGAAGTGACTGCCAGACAAGTATGTGCCGGATGTCGATCGATATTCATAGCCAAAAAACAATACTCATGCTGGAGCCCCGGGAAATCAATGAATAATGCTACTGAGCAAAGAAAGTCGTGTCAGGAGGCAACACTGGGTGGTCTGGTCGTGGTTCTACGCGCAAACCGAGAGGTTTGATGTGATTCTCGGTTAGTATCATCTCGTAAGAGTGTTACCTTTTCGCATACTGACACTTTAACATAGAAAACAAGAAATTCGCTTCCTTGCATGATATGAACTGATGTTGGCATGCTAAAGAGTTATGTGTTAACAATGTGAAGATATCTCTCGTGCACCAAACGCGTAATCAACACGTCCACATTGATCCATAAACTAATTAAATCATTCGTTTTACGGCGCTTAGTGATTAATTTACAAATGAAAGATGGTTTGCTCCGCAGCAAAACAATATTTTGCTGTGAAACCCTAGACAAGCATTTGGATTCGAGCCTGTGTCCTGTTAGAATGGGTCTCTATTTCAACTATTGATGGAATTTTGGATCTTTTCCAGATAAGCCCCGCCACTAGTGCAAAAAGTGCATGTGCGAAAAGTTAAGCCCCGCCACGTTTTGCCAGCTCCAGCACACAATCTTGACCTATTCTCGATCAAAACAACCCCTTATCCGCATCTACGCTCATTTTGAGCAAACACTTTTCTCCGTTCGGACTTAAAACCTTAAATGAACTTTCTGACGCTATCAACTCTTGTTCATGACAAGAAGACGGGAATACGTTTTTTCCAAAGCCACAGAGTGATCCATCAGCAACGTTTATGATACAATGGCCACTAAATCACACCTTCAACTGTTTCTGACAGGTAGAGGTGTAATGCCCGAAAGTGTCGGCAAAAAATCGGTCTTCGTAAGTGAACTTGGTTAGAGTGGTCTAGGATGGAGTTTAGGACATTTATTGCTGGTCCAAAAATTTGGCAAAAATCAAATTTTGTTCAGCGAAATTATGTATTAACCACAGGGCCGCTGTTGACTGGAAGAACGTTCTTCGCGAAGCTTGTGCCTGACGGCTTTTGCAGATTCCAACAGTTATCGGCGGCCCAGGTCTTCACGTCGAGATCGATGAAACGCTAATATCTCGCCGTGAAAACCACGCAGAGCGAGTCCTTCCCCAGCAGTGGATTTTCGGAGGGATCTGTTCAGACATAATTTTACTAGATGATTCGCTGACCCAATTTACTAAAAAAATCGTTGTTTTCCACCGTGAACTAGAGTTTTTCAGAAAACGGCTTTAACAGTATGTGCTTTCCATTAAGTCATTCGTTGATTTGGGTACAAAATCTCCCAAGGCCGTAAATTTCTCTATCGTCTACAGGGATTTTCCGAGGGTTGATGAGAGCTGGACGATCAGTTTGCGTACTTTCTGCCATAATCGAGAGAATATTATTGATATGCAGTTGTTATTGTGTGCATTGATGATAGTTCCTCGTTTGGGGAAGAATTGCCCAACTCGGTGACCGCCTAATCAACCACCAAAAAGCCTTCCCAAGTTGGTAATATTCAAATACACTACAGGAGTTTTACTTCAAACGGAGAACCACTCTACAGAAGAATCTTTGCATGAAAGAAAGGTTTCCTTTGGCTTTAATTTTTCCGGCATCAGATTATTTTGAAGGACACTCCCCAGATCGGAGCACACGCGACTGAATATGAGCTTATGTCAGCAAACTGCACTGTGGATTTTCATAAAGTAAGTTATTCACAAGGTAGGTTAAAACTCTTTGACAACCCAAGACCGGTTTCGCCCTTCTTGGGGCTCATCAGGTAGCCAACGTCCCCTAGGTTCCATCAACCTTATGTTCTACTTTAACCCAAATCGAACTTTTTTCGAGAAATACACTCATTAACAGATCAATTTGGTTTTCACGAGAGACTCAACTGAATCTTTCGTTTATGATATTCTACAACTGAATGTGCTGAACACAGGCTACCTCATGTTTCATTTGACACGATATTCGAGATATCACAGTATATTTTCATAAAAGAATCTACTCACTGCGGACGGTTCCACCAATCGGTTTGTCCAGACGTGGTCTATATCGACTGAGTAGTCCTCAACAACCCTATTGGTCAACTGATCAGACAGAGAAGAGCAGCTCAACGACCTGCTGATCAGTCCAGTCCAGTGACTAATGAGAAAAAATAAGCTAAAAATACTCATTTCCTGTCCACTATTGGAACTCACGTTAGAATAAACTATTTGGTAAATTGAAGCAGAAATTAGACCAATCGCAACCGGACAACTAAGCATTCTCTTCGCACCACCCAAGTGCATTTTGTCATTCAAGGTCATATTACAGTTAGGTACCCAGGCGGATCAATGTAGAACAAAAATGCAGCTAGTTGTAATCTCAAACGTTAAAGTCTCATTACAGGTAGCCAAAATGCTGATCAAAGCTCGAAAAGATTATAGAAGCCCATCGGGATTCCGTGGAACCTACTTCACGTTCAGAGTACGAAGTTTTAAACAGCTGTGACCGCCAAACCAGACTGGTAGAAGCTCTGAAATACGAGTGAAGGAAACAAATTTAAAGTAAAAACCAAAGGCTTATTAAAAAAATGTTGTATCATTACTGTTTGTATTTGTGAGAGGACGCTTTAAACGAGAAGGCACGGTAAGATGTCTTCGTAATTTTTACACATCCATTTCCCCTCTTTGGCGCTTTTACGCCGACTCATCAGTGTTGAAATCATTGGTTTGTTTTCTCATGTGACCCGTCTACATGGGCACTTGAAATTAATCAATTCTACCCACCAAGCATGGATTTCTGGTGAAAAAATGCGTAATCTTATAATGTCGGCGCGGTGTAGATTTCTTGTGTAGACAATAAGTCGATGATTAAGCGTGGTTCACTAGAGAAGGAAACTTTCAAGTCGAAACATTGCTAGTAGGTTGCTGTAATTCCATGAAAGTAGGGTAACTAGTTAACTAGACTTTAAAGGTGGCCCTGCCTCGAACATGTATCGCAACACAACTGATCGCCAGATTGTAAGAACTTAGCTGTGGCACCCTTTTGGCGCCTAACTGCCATCCAACCAGAAGGAAGCACGAGGGCTGGGGTACTGCCAGATTGCCCAAGCGTAGACAGGGAAAGTCGAGAGGCAAAGTTCGGGTTCGAACCACGGAACTTCAGGTCAACAAACTCGCACCCTAACCACCAAGGCATCTCACCGCTTTATCACTGCTGTTGAATGAAACTTTAACCGACCACTCAGTGAGATACATACATTGGCAGTACTGACGTAAGGTTAGAAATGCGAGTTAAAGAACACCTGCCCAATAACCTCGTACGCTACTGGCTAAACCAGATTTCAGTTGCAGCGAGTCAAAAACCCGGCTATCGATCGCCAGGCATCTCGTTAAGATAGGAAACACTGTTGAACTTTGCTCTTCTTTCCGGGGCATAGCATGACCAAAGGTCCCCAAGGTAATCTTGACCGACTGATAAAGACCGTTATTTTGCGCTCGCAAAGATCTGAGATTTCCCATGGGATTATCTCGGTCTTATTGGTCGGTCAAGTTACGGTGTGTCCAGCAATGCATTTTACATGTGATTTGGCATACAATTCCAAACGAAATGAGTACATTTCGTTTGTCCGAACTAGTCAACGTGTCTACCTCTCTGGGCCCAACTGGTACTGTCGCACGGAGGGTCAATGATTGATAAAACAGGTGAATACATTCCGCTTTGTTGTGTTACAGTAGAACTTTGAATGGGTGAGTACAGCTTGGCGGCAAACTGTCATAATAACTGTGAGTCGGCACGATCGACTGAGTGTAATAAAGGGCTTTGCCGGGATCTAAGCCCCATTTAAAAGTACAGACTGTCTGACATGATGAGGTCGCAGAACTTCAACAGAATCATTGTGTAAACTAGACGACCAGATGAACTTCCAAACGTCCGTGTAGACATGCAGTCCTCTTTGACATGCGTATTCTGGCAAATAGAATAGTTTCACCTGAAGACATCAACCCAGTGCATGTATACACCAAGTGTTACGTACATCTGCGTTTCGTTGTGCTGCGTACAACATCTCCTGCGCATAGGGAGACCCACAGAATCATCATAAACTTTGAATTCGTGTTTCCAAATTGCCGGTCATTGGGAGGATGACCTCCGCTTTAAATCTGTTTCCCATTCGAATGAGCCCGTGCTATCCCATAATTGACATAATCAAAAAGCGGAATATCACAATGTCATGTGCGTAACCTGACGATCGAGACAACGAGGGAGTCACCGAGGTGTCGTGGACTACATGTCACACAGGTTCGATTTCGCTAACTGAGTCGAATGAAGCATAGTTAGATAAGATCTGAATGACAAACTTACTAACCCGGATTATCCTGGACTGAGTTGTCTTTGAGGAGAGCGTTTCGCAAAATAAAAACAGTTCTAACTATTTTCGAAAACGTTTGGTGACATTCGGTGGATGTCCCTTCTAGAGACGAACAGTCACATAGGTTAACAAAGTATATTTGTCATTATTGGTCTCTGATCAGATGGTCAGTGATCCGCCCACCGAGCTTAGTAAGTCGGTTGAAAATGTTCCGTCAGCAGTCCGGGAGATATCTCCTGCTTTTATGTAATTTTTAAGGAGCATCTGTTACCAATTGATGTGATTGGCTAACTGGCGAGTAGCTGCTTTGCGATCCTATTGGCCTGATTGTAATTTGTGCTGCGCTGTGGTTCGTATATCACTCATTTACCTGACTCACCGAATAGTCTGTTTTCTTTCTATTATTCGTTGCACATCCACCCACCCGGTGATGATATCTCCTCGTTTAGTGACCAAACGTTTGGAGGCCACTTATCAACAATTAGTATTACGATGGCCAAATAACGTTTCCTTCTACCTGGCAGGATTTTTAGTGGATAGCGTGTCCTCAGGTAAACTGCAAAGCTCGGCTCTAAGGCACAATTCGTAAAGATTTTTATTTGGAACCACTAGTCTTTCAGTTAATCAAACTTTGTACGTTCTAACCTGTTTTTATATATCCCGTATGAATGATGGAAAGAAAGAAAACACTATCTATGGTGATCGTTTGACTGATTCACGAAGCATGTATTTTATGTTATCTTATTATGGTGGACAAGGTTGCAGAACTTGCGGACGGTTGGTGAAAAGGCTACTGACCAATGGAACCCGGCTATTCAAACAAAGAGTTGTTTGATTCATCTTTTTCCGGGTACCAAACTCAGTTCACAGCTGTGATCCGAGTTTCCGTGGTTTCTATGTAAAGGAGTTAAACCGCTTTACGTTTGTTTTGACTCGGAAGATGCATTTCATCTGAGAGAGTCCACACCCGTACCCTGGGCGATGTGAGCTGTTTGCGTAAAGGGCTATTCTTCGAAGGGCAGTTTTTGGCAAGTCAGTCCCATTGTGCATGAAATAGGCAACAGTGTTTTGGTAATGATGCAGTAATGAATGAAATGATCGTGAAAAGGCTACAGTAGTTTTATCCTGCGTTAATGGGCACATCAAGATGGCCTGCACACCTTCCTCGCTCTTGTCATTCTGCAAGGTTACCAGATGGTAAGAAATGTACTATAATGTCCTCACTGAAGTAACACACTTGAAGAGAATTACTCATAAAGTTGTCAAAAGCTTTTCGACAATCCACAAATCGATATGCTAGTGAGTGTATCCCACAGTGTGGCATACTGTTCAGAATGTTGCTGAAAACTTTTATCAGTAGTATGTTGCTTCGAGAAAACATACCTTACATAACATGCTAAATGAAAAGTGAATTGCTGTTTATGTAGTGCATTATACATTTGAATGAGTCCACAGGAACACAAAAGTAATTTGCAACTGAGCCAAAAATGTTTTGATCCAGGAAAAAATGTGCTGTAAAACTTACAAGAACCGGTATTTCCCGAAATACCTTTATTCCAAAAGAGCACCAATCGATGAAAGAACAATGGGTGTATAATCTCGTGGTTCTTTCCCAGGAACTATGCATAATCAGTAGTTATCGATTACTTACCACTTTGAAAGACAGTTAGACGATTTTTTTCGATTTTGGTAAATTTTCCAGAGTAGATTGCTTGTTGCTAGGACCGAAAGTAAATGTTGGCATATTATTCAGGTACTTTAACAGGTGGGGTTTGGAGACGGCCGTCTGGCGCCTGGAGAGGAAAAACGAAGACCACATGTGGTGCGTGCTAATTTGGTCACGCTACGTCTTACCGGGTTGTGTATAGATCAAGATCGGATAACAAATCCTTTTTGTTCGACGCTTTTCTAAAATTAGACGACCCAACTCTATTCAATTTGATGGATAGTAGATGTCTGTCCAAAGTTTCCAACCCCACAAAAGACCGGTGTTTTGGTTTTCAGGTCGTCCCTCCCAGGAATGGACACTTTTGTGAGGAAGTTCCTCGAAGTTATACGCTGTATGAGAAACGTTGGCTGTATGAAGACTAAGAACTTACCACGTAATTCCAAGAATAACCGGTTTGACGACAAGAGAACGTCCAACAGTTAACAGGACTCAGAAATTGGTGGCGGTTGCGCCACATTCAAAACGGTGTCCTTGTTCAGATTCAAAAAATGAAAGTACAACTTCGGAGGGTTATAACCGCTATGTAAGCCAAAAATAGGCACAAGGATGAAAATACTGGCAAATCGATCAAACCCAGCCAGTCGAAAATATCGAAGTGAGTTGGAACGAAAAACCATCCAGTTGGGTGCTTATGCAACAACTCTTGGTTTAACTTGTGCTAACTCTTGGGATTTCACGGATAATTTACCGTTTTGTTCAGAAAGCAAACAAGTTATAAATCTGGGTTATACTTTCTAATGAGAAGTGAATAAGAATACATTCAAGGTCAAATTTTTGGTTGGTAAATTCAATCTTGATGTAGTGCAAGGGGATCAGCATGGTAAAAACTTCAAACAAAAACAGAAAAACGTCAGTTACATTTATCGCTCTCGTTTGCCGACTGAACACCAAAACAATTGAATCAAAGTGTATGTTTCACTGGGTCAGCGGATAACTTTGTACTTCAGGCATATCAGTATTTGGAATTCCTCGGATAGGGTAGTCCTTCTGCACTTGGGGTTTGATTAAAAACCATTTTCATCAACTGTGGTATGTCCGATGATGAAGCTATTTTCCCGAACTTTTTCACAAACCAGAGAACGCGACGTTTGTCGTTATATTGTTACCAGGTACTATGTGTTAATTTAACCTTCTCAATTACTTGTGAGGCCAGCATGTAATCCGATTTGAGGCTTTTCCAAAATTTTATTTTGGAACATTTGTAGTGATGTGCACAGATGTTTCGTAAAAAAAACAATAACCAGCATGTTTTTGGGTCATCATCAACCGTTAGATGAATAAAACTAATTCATTGGAAGTATCTTCGCATTTTCGAAGGAGTTCCCAGAATAAAAATAAACTAAAATGTACTCCTGTTTTGTTATCTGAGATTTCAAATAAGTGGCTGATTTTATAACATGCAGAAATGGTTTGGTCAATTCCAGTGTAATTCCAGGCGTGATCACGTGAAGTTAGCCAAACCAGCTGAATCTTGCGTCTTTCTCCATGACTTGCTTGATGAAATGAGTATCACTTAGAGCGAAAACCACTCAGCTTTTGAACAAATGTTTAAACGTAATTTGAAAAAAACTGTTCTCTTCTTTTAGCGAATACACTTCGAGAACACGAAAAACCAAAACGGAGAATTAAGGGCGGACAAAGATAAAACCATGTGAACAGTTTTCACATCACGATCGACTGGACTGTGTTGCGAGTGGTCACGTGAGCAACTGTAATTACTCCAGCTGAGTATTCTAGAGACGATGTTAGAATAATCACGTAACTTGTACATCTGCACGTGCAATCAGCTTCCTCGATCCGTTTGTCAACTTTCTGCCCTTTCGTTAGTTCAACACTTTTGGAGGGATAAAACTTACAAAAACTCGCCATTAATCTGTCGACAAATATTTTAAAGTGCATGAAATTTCGTCAAAATGCCTCCTAAATTGCAGTTATGTTGCTCTCCATGCGCAACAAAAGGACAGAAGCTTTGGCCTACAGAAACCTTTCCTCTAGGGGCTGTTTGTTGAAAGGCTACTATCTCCTTTACAGATTCGCTGTACGCGCTGACTAGGATTTGCCACTTCAAATTCGTTGCACTTTGCCTAAAAAACACCGAATATTTACGTCATGATTGATTGCACTATTTTGGGAAACAAAAATAACACCAGAGATCCTTCAGTGAAAAACGTATGTACTATATTGGCACAAGAATGCCTCCAATCAGAGGCGTAACACATTTTCTGGCCTGATATTTCTGTGGAACAAAGTTAGACAGAACCAAGGGTTTTTCAGTAATCCTTTGGTGCTGGTGACTTATTGGCACATTCACCCGCTCTGTGGGAACGAAAATTGTGCAAGATAGGCTTGTAATGTGACTGATTCGCCAAGTCACGTGTTCGTCAAATCGGTAGCAGCACGTGCGGCTCATATGGCGTCTGATAGCCAAATCACGTGACTTCGACAAAAAATGAGATCAAGGTGTGGAAACAGCTTCAATCGACCTGATTTATTGCACGAGTGAAGATAGCGGTGATTGCAAAAGGCTCCTAACCAGTTCGAACCAAGATATCCACCTCACATTTGCTTCACACAGGGGAAAAACGATACGTATTGAAACGTATGTTTTTAAACGATTGGTAGAGTAAGGATGGCGGATTCTGTGCTATCTTGGACACGGTAGATGAAGACGGAAATGAGGCCCCTCTGGAACGTTATCAAAACGACTGATCCGAATAGAGAGAAAAAACAGATTGATTATGGCAAGAAAAACTAATTTACTCAAGTGCAACTAAGCTGCGAGGTATTGTTCCCTGAATTCCACTCACATCACATCAGTCAGTACGCTAACTGAGTGAAGAAATATTCACATCGGTCTAAGTTCACCACTCAATTTTTCGAACCGAATTCGTTTCAGCAACTCAGTAAAACTCAGAAGTTGACTGGTTAATCCAAGCGAACTGTCACAGTACCATGGGAGGCGAATAAGTGATGTGTTTCCAGAAATTTACTCAAATATGTTGATGCCATCTCAGGACTTGGTGATGCAATCACCGACAAACCGACCTTGATCATCCGTTAGAAGGGTTGACGGGTCCTACAAGGACCCTCAAAGACGATATGGTTTTTGCAAACGATTTCTCTGATAATTAATGTTACTTCAGCACACGGATCAACGGCTTTAGAATGACTGAAGCTGAGTGGCAGAAACAAAGTATTTGGTTATACGGGAAACTACTCACAAGGTTGCTGAAAGCTCTTCGACAGTCCACGACCGGTTTCGCCCTTCTGCTTTGGGTTCATCAGGTAGACGCAGTCCCAGAGTTTCAGTCAACATTATGATCTACTTGAACCCAAATTGGACTGTTTTCGAGAAATACACTCAATTGCTAGTCAATTTGGCCTTCACAATTGGCAGAAACAAGCTATTTGGTACTTACTTGAAGAACATTTTGGGTCAATTGCATCGCCGTGAAATCATTTTAAGGTTAAACTATGCTACAATTAGTTTTTTTTCGGAAAAAGGGGGGAAAGAACAAACCCAGTGAATTTTGAAATAAACACAGATGATTTAGAATTATAGAAAGCGAAAAACGCCCCAAACATTTTGGTTTATTTCATACACAAATAGTTCTCTATCCCAGCTGAACTTAGGCCTTCTTGGCACAGAGATGAACACAAAAAGCCTTTACAACCAGGACTACCATCAGCACAATTAGCTCAAAACACGTTGCTTGGGGAACGTGCCACAGCGATGATCTCTTGTTCATCCCAGTGACAGATGCGGTTCAACCTGGATGATCTAAAGTCTCGACTCAGGATTTGCAACCAACAGCGACTTGGAAATTTCGGCAGCTTGATCTGTTCACCGAGCTCGGCAGCTGGCTTGCACCGAACAGGGAGTCATAACCTGTGCGGGGACAATGACGCGCCCTCTGACAAGGTCGTCTTGCCTAAGGATGGGACGTTTGCAAGCTAATTATCGGGTTCACCGAACAGGTCAACAGCCTCCTGATTGACAAACCACCCACAACGATTAGCGAAAAACACTCATTTGCAAAGCAATTCGAGTTTTCGAGAGACTCACCTGGAACCCTGCTGAATCTGTCGTTGGTGATGTTTTCATGCGACTGAATGTGCTGAACCAGGCTGCCTCACGTTTCAGTCACTACGATATTCGAGATATCGCGATGCATGTATATGCGTAATGCACTACTCATAAGGTTGCTGCAAGTTCTTCGACAGCCGAAGACCGATTTCGCCCTTCTTGGGGCTCATCAAGTAGGCGAAGTTGCCTGAATACATCACAAACGGGAGATCCAGCAGGGTTCCAGGTGAGTCTCTCGCGAAACCAAATTAGTTTGCAAATGAGCGTACTTCGCTAATTTCGTGCAATTTGGTTTCAAGTAGAACATAAGGTTGACGGAAACTCGGGGACTGCGCCTACCTGATGAGCCCCAAGAAGGGCGAAATCGGTCTTCGGCTGTCGAAGAACTTGCAGCAACCTTATGAGTAGTGCATTACAAATATACAACCATAACGATATTTGGCCAGTTATTGGATAGAAAGAAGGCTACCATCTGTGTATCCTAAATTTGGACACATCCATGTAGGCTGAAAAAAATCAAGACAGTCTCTCCAGGGAGAAGCCAGATGAAGGTGGCTCATCATGAAGGTCGTTTCATTAAAGAAAACAATTTCATTCACTGAGAACTACGTTTTTTTTCGAAGCGTCAAAGTTCAGAGACCCGCATGCCCTTGTCTGATTAGTGGAGTATTAAGATATAGCACAACATTAGAAACCAAATTTGACGGAACTATTAGCTTGGAACATCTATCCAGCAGTTGCTATGACATCAAGAATACGTGAGTACCTACAAACGCATCGCAGCCCCAAGTTAAACATAAAAAAGTTTTCAAATGGATTGTCAAAGGATTGTCCCGTAGCCAGTAGAACTGCAGGTAAGCTGGTTAGATACGATGGGTTTCTCACAAGCTTATACATAAGAACATGCAAGTGTTTCACGCTGCTATCTCTTTTTCCCCTTTAGAACAAAAACAGATGTGCTTGCGAATGTACTTGCTGAAAGAACTTCAACAGATGCTTTCGACCTCCTTGGAGCTCAAGACGTAGTTAGCAAATCCTACACAAGAATATGCTAAACAAGAGATAACGTCAAGCGTTTCATTAACCGCACTATGCGATGGATGATTGTGGAAGCAGCGGGCGCATCGCCACACAAAATCGAGCTTATTTCCACACGCTCTGCCAGGTGGTACAACAGATCTAAGGCATTTCCACCCCATGAGGGCGGTTGAATATCTCCAGTTCAGTATTCCAAGCGCTTAGTAAAGTTATTCAGTTCACGCGCCACACTACCCGGATAACATTGTACCCCATTGTACCCGCATTGGAATGCACAGGAGGATAGGTAACACGTTCCCACAATCTTTGAACGCTTACGTGCGCCCATTACACCAAAGGAACAGGTTATGCAACTGCAGTTATCTCGACCTGAATTGCGAGCCTCAGTTGCATTGATTCAAGCAAAACATGCGCTTGTGTCCAGTGATCAACGCACGCCGCACCGACAAGAAGAATCTCAGAAAGTAAGACAGATTTAGACTTCTTTTTCGGATTATTATGCGCAATAGCAGACAAGATGGTCACATCCAACTAGGTTCGCTCTCGAGCAGAGAACAAAGTACTGAAACTTGTAAACTCAACTGGTTCGGACTCCTGGACGGATGAGGGGTAGGAGGCTCTTGAATGGTCTGATTCAAACAGTGGTTCTGATAGTCTGCTACATTTGACGGACGGAGGAGCGTATCGTAGGGTGGACCAGTAGAGTAGCTCAGTCAGTGAGAGCCTTGCGTGTGACCGGTCGTTATTGCTGAACGGTGACGTGCTTTGTACTTCAAGATCCTAGCGCCCCGTGAACAGTCGAATTTGAAGAAACACACTGCTGAGTCTGTTTCTCACATCTTCTTGTCACCTCATGCTGTGGTGAGACCCAGATAGTTGACTCGAATCCGGTGCCAGCAAGACAGTGAAATCAATCCGAAGAACGAAACATGGACGTCCACTGATCGCGATCAGTGGCCCATGAGGTGCTGCATGGAATGGAGTGCATTCCATGCTGAATTTGTCCATATCCTGCTGAAGTGATTCCCACATATTATTGTGTGGGGTTTCACCGTGGGATGTAAATACTACTCACCGACTGCGGCAACAACACACTGTTCTGAACAACGAGCGTCAACTCACGCCATATGATGTGTTTCACCGAATTGGGGAATTATGGCATGCGTGGTAAATCACCCTATTATAGTAACACTAAGTTGATATCGTTCAAATGGTCTCATACAATTTGCCCACGCAGATGGCGTTTTATGTATTACCACGATTGCAAAACGCCGATCACTGGTTCCTGAAAGAAAATCCGTTATTTTCACCCTGGGTGAGTAGCAAAACTCGTCTGAAGTACCGGCTATCATATGCACACGAGATATTCTTCAGCCGGAACTTCTGGGCTTAACACAACATGAGTAGGCTGGTCATTGGATTTGTTCTTTTTTCGTATTCAAGAGCACCCTCCGTATTTCGGAACCAACTATTTTGACTATTAACCTCATGGCTATCCATCGCTATGATTCCGTCTCGTAATGATCTAAGAACTCGCGATCGTTAGAAGATATTGATATCGGTGTAACAGCGGATACTACTGATGGAGCATGCGAGTAGTGTGTGGTTTCCCTATAACTCCACCTCGCCTCTATTGAAAAGTGAGATTTATTATGGAATTTGTGGAATCGCCTTGTAGCATTTGTTTGCTCTTGAATGATAGTCAATGAGTATCCAGGAAAGTTCAGAAAGACGCGTTCGAGAAGACGGATACTCAGTTTTTATAAACGGGATGAATATGAACGTTTTGCTTTCTTGTTCAATAGTCTCTAACTGTTCAGTTGGTGTTTTCCAATAAATAACTCCACAGCGAAGGCCTTCTTTCTTTCATTGGTACAATACACTTGTGGAACAGTTTTCTGGCCGGGATACACTCCTGACTGAATAACTGACACGACCTCATTCCACTTCCCCATAGACTGCAGCGGGAAGGAATAACGGTAACTGTATCGAAGGCGTAGGTAACCAAGGTTGAACACCTTTTCTTTGGTCAAACCTCATTTTGGACTGAACTTAAACACCTGGCAGACGAGACACAATCGACGCGTAGCCTCGCGCGGTCCGAACACCGCATCAGTTGTTGTGGCGTGAGACCTCCATCTTTTGACTGGTTGGCTGAGTCTGTTCTTCCCCATGACACCAGTTTTTACCCAGCGCAAAGTTATGCAGTTCACGTTATAACTCCGCTCGATATGCCTCTGGTACTCATCGCTCTCTACTTTCTCTCTGATCTACCGAGCTAGTCCAATTGGCACAGAAAGGTGAGATGGCCGAAGTGGTCGCAGCGCGAATTTACTGACCGAAGGATTCTTGGTTCGAACCCCACCCCTGCCTCCCGACTTCCCCTGTCTAGGCTTGGGCAACCTGGCAGTATCCCAGCCCTCGTGCAACCTACGGGTGGCATTGCAGTTAGGCACCGGAAGGGTGCTGCCGCTGAACAGTCTATTGGCACAGAAAACACATCTACATCCTTCACGATGACAGATCCAGTTCTTGTTAAACATCCCGATTTTCTTACGAAACAGCGTGGATTCAGCACTAACTATCAGTCAGTCGAATAAATTGCCACAAGATTCTGTCATATGCATAAGTGTGCCACTTCAGTAGCACATGGTCTGCAGACTTAATTCACCTTGATGAACCGAACTGGAGGGCCTAGGATATCATGTGGTTGCCTTGTGAAACGCCTTTGGCGTAAACAAGAATTTCGCTTTGATCTGGAGCCGTTGGGGTGTCTCGACTGAAGATAACGTGTTCAGGTAGTTGACAACTTTCATTTGCAATGCAAGAGTACAATAGCATAGATGAAGTTGACAGAACGCATACCGACTATCAATCTGAATGGATGTGCATACATCATCAGAGCCACAACGTTGAACATTGTTATGTCATCGTATTTACGGTGACGCGGAACAAGCATTAGGCATGTGCGTGGTTGCCACCTGATCGTCCTCCTTTCTGGGTCAGCATCGAACGCTTTCATGCAGCACCGTATGTGGCTCCTGTCCAACCGTGTCCAGAGGCCAGCCGCCCCCTACTGACCGAACAGCACGTCAACCAGACGGATGCGTCACACGCGGGCTAGGAAACAAACGAAGGCATCCCCTGATTGGTCAGAATACCAGCCAATCTTTATCGAGCATCTGTGGATCGATGCTTCTCGCCCCCTCACGGTGATTCCAGCATAACCTTGTAGAATTTTCTGTGGTTCCCTATAAATACAGTTGTAATAATCTTCCCTTGTCTCCATAAAGTGCTGTCTAAAGCTACTGTGCCTTCTAATATCCCATGGTGAGCGGAGCAGGAAGCTAAGGACCGACACAGAGTTGCACGACCGTTCAGCAAGTCACATCAAACTGTCCAAAGCAGACCACTCATGCGCAAGCGTTCTACTACTGTTGCTCCATTGTTCGTCCGTCACTGCGCGACATGTACGGGAAACGCGACTGATAAGTGGACCTATCGCTATACACATGCTTAATTTTGACATCTAATTGGTTGTCTCCAGATTCAGGATAGAATTTATGCTTTGTTTTGTCACTAAAGTCACACATGTACTGGCCCACCTTCAATCTTATCTTGGTGCGCACAAACCGCTCGTGGACGTCGCCAGCCGCTCGGCATACCGGACCATACCCACACAACCTAGTGCGCATCGTGCCTTTTCAATGAGCCATAACTTGACTAGTTTGCACTGCCAAATACATTTTTAAGGATTGATGGTAGTGTGAAGAGATTTGGTAATTTCGATTTGAAACTGGCTTCCATAAATGAAGAGAATCTACGCTGTAAAGCCGAGAAAGACCGGACACCTGTTTCATCCTTATTGGGAATAATCAGCGGTGTACACGTGGCAAAACTCAAAGGAGTTTCAAACCCACGACCTCCGGACTATTAGTTTGAACTTTGAACCGTTCCGCGACAAACACCTTTCTGATCAGCAGTGTGATTGGCCTTCACTGCGCAACTCATCCTTCAATTACGGAAACCACGTCACGTGTTTATACGGGTGACGAATACTTGATAGGGATACTACAAACTGCCCAGCAGTTCCACATTTGTTTCACCGAAAACGGTCATTTGCTAATCCATTATTGACAACTAAAGTTTTTCTTGTCTTCCGGTGGATTATTCATGCTTTCCATGGGGCTAGAACATGTGGCATGTGCCCATTTGCCATGAATACCTATGAGTGTTTTCGAGAAATACACTAAGTTGCAAATCAATTTGGTTTTCACGGGGGACTCAATTGAATCTCTCGTTTATGATGTCCTCCAGCTGAATGTGCTGCACACAGGCCGCCTCGAAGGGTTTTCAGCAACCTTGT